AAAAAAAAAAGAAATTTACCCTTTTCTCTAGAAGCATTTGTATCTTATCAGCTTAAAATTATTCTTCTTTTAATTCAGTTTTTCAGGAAAATATGTTACATTTAAAAATGCTGAAGTACCTACGAATGAAAGCTATTTGGTATCCTTTGAAATGATTCCGAATCAAGAAATATATAATTTTACTCTGAATGCTCACAATCCTCTTGGGCAGTCAGAATCCACAATAGTAGTTAACATCACTGAAAAAGGTAAGATGCTCTTGCATCAGTGTGGCTTTTAAGAATATATGAGAAGTAGCTAGGTGCCGTGGGATTAATGAGAACTGCCTTTAGGGATCATGCGTTGGTGATTATTTTCTCTAGAAGTACTTAATATTAAATTTATAAATTTTATTCTGAAAGTTTTAAAGTGAATAGCTTCAAGTTTTGCCACTATATTCTATTTAAATAATTTTTTGAATTATCATTTACATGGAAATAGAAGTGGCTTTGTCTAATAGTGGTTGATTTCTGAAAATACTTGAGCAGTTTTTAAAAATTTTTATTTTAAAACAGTGTAGGATTACCTGGTCATTGTAAAAATAATGGATTATAATTCTGGGAACCTGTTCCCTAATTTCCCCCTGTGAGGATATTCTGTGTAAGTGGTACAACATCAACACCTAAAACTTGACAGTGCTATAATACTGTAACTAGATTCCTGAACGAGACTACCCATGTTTCTGCGTTGTATTTGGGCGTGCGTGCATGAGTGTGTGAGTGCTGAAGAGACAACATGAGGAAATTCCCTTGTGAATCTGCACAGACATGCACATGCACACAATTGAAGCTGGTCTTGGCAATAACTATTTTTCATCTGTTTTGCGTTTTCAGAGTGTTGCATAAATGAAGTCATAAAGTCTATAACCATTTGAGGTTGGCATATTTTACTAAGGATAATGTCCTTGAGGGCCATCTTAGTTGTTGCATGTTATCAGTATTTAATTGCTTTTATACTGATAATTTCTGAATTTTTAACAACCCCCACTTATGAGTAACTGAGGTAGAAATGTAATGCCTTTGACCTTTTGGCATACATTTCCATGGCTAGAACACATGCATCGAGTCCACGCCGTGCTCAGGATGACCCTGAGCCGTAGCACTGGGATCTCTTGGAGACCCACATTCAGGGGAGAAATGGCTCAACCAGACGCATTATCATGTAGCCTGTAAATGAGTAGTGGACAAACCTGTTGACCTACTTGCAAATATAAGTGGCTTTCATCTGTTACCCCTTCATATTTATTTCCTGATTTTTCAGGATGAAAAAGCTACATTTTATATTTCAAGGATAGTGTCTGCCTTTGTCTGCTCCCTGACATTGCCATGTTTCCCATGGGCTTCATTTGTATCACTCAAACTGACCTGCACACAATCACCAGCATAATGTGAACTTTGATGCGCTGTACTTCTATTCTTGTCAAGACCACAGCCTGAAATACTTTTCTGTGTTCCTTTTGCTAATATTAGTGTGCCTCTGCATTTGATGCTCAAATTAAATTCTACCTTCACTGTAAGAGTTCCCCCACCACACTACATTGAATTAAATTCCTGTGGCAGCTAAGTGCCATGCACCAGAGAGTAGGAGTGAGTCTTAAAATTAGAAAGAGCATCACTGAGGGCGAGCTATCATTGGTAATTGTAAGTCAGTATTACTGAAAATCTACCATAGATCCGTCTCCCTCTCCTTCTCCCTGTTCCTCTCCCTCTCTTTTCCTCTCTCTCCCCTTCTCCTTCTGGCTGGCCATCCATCCAGCCATCTTTCCATCTGTCTGTCTGTCTGTCTCTGTCTTATCTCTTTTTTATTAAGGCAGGGTCTCACTATGCAGATCAAACTGGCCTCAAACTCATAGTGATCCTCCTGCCTCAGCCTCCTGAGTGCTGGGAATACAGGTGTGCACCATCATGCCTGCCCCGTGTTTGTTATTCTTGATGTATTACAAATTCCTTAAAGACAGAGACTGTGATCTTACTATCTTTTCTATATTCCCAATACCAAAAAAAGAACCTTGTCTGTGATTGGGTCTTTAAAATATTGGCATGATGTCAGTAGCAAAAGTGAGGCTTGTGGATTCCATAGATACCTGGTAGAGTATTTCTTTTCAACACCAATTATGCCTTCTTAATTTATATTTTCTTTAATTTTCATTTGTCATATGTATTGAGTTAGGAGTTATCTTAGTTATAATTTTTACTTGTAAATAAATGTTTAAAGGAATTACCTTTAAAATTCTGTTTACAGTTTTTCCTCATCCTCCTACTTCATTCAGAGTGAAGGATATTAATTCAAAAGCTGTTACACTTTTTTGGCGTTTATCAGGCAACTTTGCAAAGATTAATCTATTATGTCAAATTAAAATTAATAAAGCTAATTCAAAGCAAGAGTTGGTAAGTAAAATTCTTTTATGGAATGTGTGAGCTCCCTATTCTACAAACTGCCTAAATAAGATGTTAATATCAATGTAACACAGCACTACACTAAATATTTAAAAATAATTGTAATACCTTATGTTACAGAAGGTAAATTAAACTTTTACTACTAAGAGTGTACCCAGATCGGGTATGTGGTACCTGACACGTAGCTGGTGCTCATCTCGGGAATGAATGAGTACACCTGGCTGGGACCTTTCACATCAGTTAGTGGAGTGATCCTTAAAATTAGAAAAAACATCACTGAGGGCGAGTTATAATTGGTAATTATAAGTCAAAACTTGACTTTTTAGTACATTTTAAATACTTAGGTTGACTTATACCTGCACCATTTTGTAATTTGTAAGTCTGTAATAAATACTGTACTTAAATATTCATTTGGAAATTTACTGATTTTTAGAAAATAAATCAAAATTACAGAATGAAACCTGAAAAATAAACCTTTGTAATAAGCACTTGGGAGTTCAGGGGTGTTCCTGAGCAATGCAAATCCTCACATTTGTTTAAAGTTGCTATTTTTTGTTTAGTTTAAGTAACTGAACTGTTTACTGTGTGTTTAACACCAACCTAGACGCCCTAAGTGACACAGTAACAAAGATAAATACATGATGATAGCTGCTACCAAGAAGCCTCCAGCCAGAGGGCCAGGGAGGCGGCTCAGTGGAATAACCGCTCCCTGGCAGGTGCAAGGGCATGAGTTCAATCCCCGGTTCCACCAAAAAAAAAAAAAAAAAAAAAAGGAAGCCTCCAGATAGTGTCTGAATAACACTCTTAATGCTCAAGCCCTTGCGGTCATCTAAGATTACCAGATTATGTTCAGTTTTATTATATAATCAGCCATTTCCTGGTTATCAAAATTTTATCATTTGTATAATTTAATATTTAAATTAGATACTTGGATTAAAAAGACATCCCATTGTGTTATTGCTATTATAGAACATAATTTCATTGACTTACTACTATACATACATCAGAAATAAAACGTATAAGAATCAAAATATAAAATGTCCACTATAGTAGGTGAACTCTTTTTTGGTATTTAACTATAAGTTCATATGGATACTCAGTTTATGCTGCTTATGTGAGGGAATGTCTTACAAAAAATGTGTGTGTGGGTATCTCCACGTGTTCACATATGTGGCATATACACACACAGAGCCATCTTTGTTTTCAAATAGCGGAATGTCACAATCAAAGGACTAAAAAATTCAAGTTATCGTGTTGCTGTGGACAAATTAAATCCATATACTGTATATACTTTCCGGATTCGTTGTTCTTCTGAAACTTACTGGAAATGGAGCAAATGGAGTAGTGAAAAGCAACATTTAACCACAGAAGCCAGTAAGTAAATTAAAAGATTTGTGGCTAATTATCGTTAGTGGGGAATTGGGAAGATGTAAGATAGAGACGCCCAAGAACAGTCACAGGTGGCCTTGAGTGTGATTTAGCACACTTCCCGGGACCTTGTGTCGTGTAGCAATCGAGAGCTTAGCTTTTCTATGGCTTCGTTTTCTAAATCCATGTGTAAGCTACTGAGCTGCTTTACATGATAGTGAGCATTTGAAATACCATGGGCCAAAGGTTTCTAGCACTGCTGTCTCAGTTACTGATATTAAAAAACAGGCACACAGTATGTATCTCGAGGTGCTAAGTTTTCAATCTCTTTTCTAGTTCCTTCAAAAGGACCAGATACTTGGCGAGAGTGGAGTTCTGATGGAAAGAATTTGATAATCTATTGGAAGGTAAGCATGTAATTTTTCCTTAAACACTTAAATAACTGTATTATCTCAAGTGCTTGATTTACATGTATGTGGTATTTCCATTGTCAGGAGTCAGGATTTCCTGGACTGCCTAAGTCTGCAGTATTGCTGAGGTTCAACCTGCCTCCTAAATCTCCAGATTCCTCATCGCTTGCCGTTCACCACAGGCATTGTCCTGAGGCTGTTCAGTCTCAGTTTCTGAGCATTCTTTACTTTGATTTTATGAAGTCCATTAAAGATCTGAGAATTTCCTAAATTCCCTCTCCCTTGATTTTGTCAAAAACCCAGCTAGAAACTACATGTTGAATCCCAAATGTTGTTTTCCTCCTGTAAGTGGATGAACAGGTCTCATATGGTTCCATAAGTACTGGGGCTGTAGTTTTGAAAAGCATTTCATCTATATAAAGAAGCTTGTTCATTTTCTTTTATACAGTGTGTCCTCTTTGGGGGATTCAGATTAAATAATTCCCAAGTATGAAAAAAGGAAAAAAATGGCACAAAAGTGTTCACAAATATGCTACTGTTTTAGTATTGCAAAAACTTAGGAACAACTTAAATTTCATGTATTTAGGGAATATTCAAGTATAGTGATAAAAATACTACATGAAATGTAGAAACAAAAATGTATTTAACTGTATTAAAACAGACAAGTGTGTTTATATAAAAATGAAAAAGTGTAAAACTGTGTTTGGATACAAACAGTAAAAGAATTCTTTTTCATCCTCAAGGCAAGGGTCTGACCAAGGTGAGTTACATCATTTAATAAAATACTTGAAAGTCACAGAGGGGCTATTGATTACAGAAAAAAATCCTACATCTAGAAAAACAACTGGAAAGAGATATCAAAATGCAAAAATGTTTAAAAGGTAGAAATACAGAGTAGTTTTATTTGCTGTTTTTCAATTTTTGTATGTTTTTCAGTTTTCTTTCATGCCGTAACTTAAAAATGAGAAAACGTTTTTGTTTTAAGATGTGTTTGTTTGATACAGGGTCTCGCAATGCAGCTCAGACTCATAGTCACCCTCCTATCTCAGCTTCCCCAGTGCTGGGATTATAGGCATGCACCACCACGCACACCACACTGGGGCAGGCACAGTATGTGGTACCGGTCATCAAACTCTGGTTCTTGTGCTTGCCCAGCAGGCACTTAGACTGCCAAGCTATCTCCCTGGCCCAGGACTATTGTTTTTTAAAAATAATCAGATTTATTTAAAGTTTTATTTCTGATTAAGAAGAGCAGTGCTTTTGCAGACTTTCAAGTTTTCAAGCAAAAATTAATTTTGCTTCACGTTAATTTAAGTCTCCTTCCCAGCTCCTTTAAAGGGACCAGATACTTGGGTATGTATGAAAATAAGTCTTATTTTGTATTTTCTTAATTTTTAAATTTCTGTGTGCTTTTAATATTTGCAACAAATACAGCATTCCCAAGTATGGCTCTCCTCACTTACCTAGGTCTCAGTGTTTTCATCTTTCTCTAACGCTGGTCACTGTGAGCCTAACATTCGGTTTAGACTCGATGACCTTGGATAGTCACTGATTTTTTGCAAGGGTTTAGTAACCGGTTTTTTTTCTGTTTGTTGTAGCCTTTGTCTATTAATGAAGCTAATGGAAAGATCCTTTCCTATAATGTATCATGTTCATCAGATGAGGAAACACAGTCTCTTTCTGAGATCCCTGATCCTCAGCACAAAGCAGAAATACGCCTGGATAAAAATGACTACATCATCAGTGTAGTAGCAAAGAACTCTGTTGGCTCCTCACCACCTTCTAAAATAGCCAGCATGGAAATCCCGAATGGTGAGTGGTTATGGAAGCTTGGTACATAAAGATAAGAAATTAAAGACAGTTGATGTTACATGCTTTTATGTAGTGAGTCTTCTTTACACACTGCTTCTGCTGAACTACGCATGGAGGAACAAGCAGATTGATGTCTACTATTCACTGAGAGATAGTAGTTAATTACCATTGACTTGAAGCATGTACACTTACAGATAAAATAATTACTAGATCCAGTTATTGAGGGAAGTAATTACAAGAAGAGGGAGTTGAATTGTTTATTCGAGTTTTGTTTTCAAATATCTTGAAGACTAAGAGCCTGTGCTGTCAAGCTAAGCTGTTTTGCAAACTTGTCAGCCAGGAAAAACTACTGACTTTAATTGGAAGCCTTGTTGATAAGAAATTCTTTAGTGATAAAATTTTTCTGAAGGGGCTGGGGAGATGGCTCAGTAGAATAACCGCTTGCCTGGCAAGCTCAAGGGCCTGCGTTCAATCCCTGGTTCCAAAAACAAACAAAAAATTCTGAAGTCTGAGTTCCACCTGTAGTATACAGGCTTTGGGGAAAAAATGATGGAATTTTAAAATAATTAGTGTCTTCCTTTAAATTTTATAGTCGTCAGTTACTACATTTCTTCTTAGCTCTATGTAGACAGCTTTTTGAGTGAAGAGAAAGCCACTTCTTCATTCAGGCCTTTTCCTGTCCCTGGCTTGCTGTGCACCCCTCTCAGGCAGCACCTTTCTGTAATGTGCACTCCTGGAGGAAGACCCCCGGGTCTAGTGAGTGTCTGCTCAGGTCAGCTTGCAGCATTTTCTTACTACTAGTTATTCATCCTGTTCTTCGTTGTCTTTGAATCCAAGTAGGAAAAGTAGGATGCGGGAATGGGGAAAGTACATTGCAGGGAGCCACGCACTGTTCTGCTGAGCTGATGGGACAGGCTGGAGAGGCCCAGAGCAGTAGAGGGATGGATGCAGCCAGGCAGGGTCGCTGCAAGGCAGAATAATTGTCCTGTATTTGGGCCACAAGCAGATGCGTGAACCTAAGACGCTAACTCCTGACTCAGCCTTTTAGCTCATTGCTCCCACAGTGATAGGCAACAGCTGTATTGTCTTTTAGCTCAAGGACTACATGCCCTCTGACCTTCGAGAATGTAACTTCCAGAGGTTAACGTTGGCTTGCTCATCAGCTGTCTGGCGGTGAACTGTAGCCCCACCACCTCGTGGCTCCTGGAGGATTTCCCAAGGTGGAAGCTCTCCAGCCCCAGCTCAGGTTTCTATTGTGGATTTCTAATCATATGGAGCCAAAAAGCTATTTTATGTCCAGAGCCTTCTGTGTTCTAAGCCAGATTGTTGTCTTATATTCAGTATAACTGCATTGAGTGTACATTTGCTCAGAAAACATTTCTGTGGCTTTTTACTGAACCCCTAATTATAAATCACATGTGAATTACTTCGCACCATTCTGTCCCCCACTCCAGTTCCTCACCCCAGTCTTGGGCCCTACCGCTTATTGAGGTACACATGTGGCAGGGCAGGGAAGACAAAACTGGCACAGAGCCCCTCAGCCTGCCCCAGGATAGCAGGCTTCCTGGAAAGCAGGAGAGGCGGCTAGCTCATCTGCCCTCCCACTCCTTGTGTGCGTCCTTTCTGCCCACTGCTGCCACCTGCTCTTGTGAGCTGTGTTCAGTGGCTTTTCCGGTCTTCCATGTCCCTCCTTCGCCAGTGTAGCCACTCCACACCCTGTCGTCCTCATGCCCTTTCCCCCCATCCTTCATTTTTCTGTCCCAGCCCCTGCTGTTGCTGCCTGATCCTAGTTGCCTTGTAATTCTTCAGTTGCTGAGTTAATTGCTGGATATGGGTAAGTGCTGTATAGTTGTCACAACAAAAGTAACAGAGCAGCATTTCTCATCTTTGCTAAACATTTATCTAGTTTGAGCGCTAACTTATAATTTGTGTACAATGAAGTAATCCTTGTAACTCCTGTGTACTTTCACGAGACTTTCCTAGTAGTGTTTTTAATGCTAATAAAATACCTTTCTTTTTTGTTGAAGATGGTCTCAGAGTAGAGCAAGTTGTTGGAATGGGAAGGAGGATTCTCCTCAGCTGGCATCCTGACCCCAACATGACTTGTGACTATGTTATTAAATGGTGTAATTCATCTCGGTCTGAGCCCTGCCTTATGGATTGGAAAAAAGTTCCTTTTAATAGCACTGAGGCCATAATAGAATCTGGTAAGAAGAGTTAGTGTCTCTCAGAGTTCTTAAAAAAAATATTATTTATTGCTAACCTATCCTAATACTCATAAAAGGTAAAAATTATTAAAAAAGAAAACCCAATAAATTCACCATAAGCATTGCAAAAGGCTGTTACTTAAAAGCAACATAAAGGTGATTGGGTGGATATGAAATTTTTAACTTTTATGAAGGATGAACAGTGGCATGACATACATGACAGAACCTGTGATTTAGTGATTACAGTACTTGTCTAGGAATTTGTTCTAAGAAATCACCAGAGAGCATGAATTTTCATTCAAGAATGTTCTCTGCAGCATTACTTATAATCATAAAAAGCTGAAAACAGATGGAATAGCAATAAGGAAATGGGTGAGTGGTGGCGCACAGATAAGATGGAGCTGTTATACAGCAGTAAAATTTATATCAAAGATTTAAAGTATTGGTAATAGTCATGGAAAAAGAAGAGCACAAAACACCTTTTGCTTTTGTTTGCCTCAGGCCTGTATTACCAAAGCCTGTGAGCCAGGAAGCAGAACTTTCCCTGATGGAGGGCGAGGGGGTGGTGTATGTGACGTGGGCTAAGTCCACCACATCCTTTGGAACTGGAGCCCTCTTTTCGGTGTCATCGTTCGTTGTCAGTAGCTGATGAGCTGTGTCACATCACTGTTGGGGGTTTTAAACTTCTCCCTGAGTAAGATGGCCTCCTAAGCCACCCCTCTGTGCTGGTTCTCCTTATATGCTGAAAGCCAAAAGTGCAAGTTCCTATTGATCTTTTCTAGTAAACACACTATGTTTACCTTTTGCATGACTAGATTGTGAGGGCATATCTTATTCATTGGAGTACCACATATGGCTTCTGATAATTTCTCAGCTCTGCTTGGAATACAGCCAAACTCTGTCACATATGTCGTCACTCAGAGTGGTGGTGGTCTTCCCGACTATCTTTTTCCTTCACTTACGTCCTGCTCCACTTGATTGCTATACTGTTGGCTTTTCTCCAGCTGCTCTTGGTGATCCCTGCCCTTGGGGCTAACTGAGCCTCACACGGTTCTGATCCATCTTATGACCTGGCCTTTCAGGACAGTTGTGACAGAGGTAGAGTATGTGTGGATATAGATAGAAAAGGTTATAGCTAGAAATAGAGGTTTTAGCTGAGACCCGCAGTAGCAGAGAGGAGGCAACCTAAGACAAGATGGCGCATAGAGAACTATGTGCCAAATGGTGAGCAAAAGCCCTACAGTGGTGGAGAAATTAAGGCTCTGAGCAGTTAGGTTACCTGTCCAAATTAGTATTCAGTAGCACCAGAATTCAAATTCAAAGCTACACAAAGAACTTTGAGAACATCTGATACAGCATGGTAGATGCTTCTCTTTCCTTTTTCATTCAGCCATTTCACGCCTTCAGCATTTCCTCTCTCTTGACTGCAACATGTGTTCCTAGTGCTTTCACATACTGGGGCTGTCTTAAATGGAGGAACCCTATACAGTATTAATAATACATAATTTTAATATAAAACAAGGTATAGATTTACCTTTGTATGTGCACTATAAGCATATACAAGCATATCTTTCCCCAAAGAAAAAAGTTTAACGTGAGTTTGAGTTTTCCATTGATAATTATTTAGTACATGCCAGAGTATAAAACATACTTAAGAAAACATATTGCAGAAAGAAAAGTTAAATTGGAGACAAGGCCATTCTGTTTTCCTTTGAACTGTAGGGTTTTAGCAGTTGACCATGTCAGTTTTGAATCTCTGGACTACTGGTGTTCTGTAGGCATGTAATTGGAGAACTGGTGTATAGTATTAGACACACTAGAGTGAAGTGCAGTTGCCTGGCTGCCTTTCTCCTGCAGGCATCGTCTTCTTACATCGGCCCTCATAAGGTGCTAATTGCCTGTGACGGTCCTGTTCGGATGCTGCTCATAGTGGTTCTTGGACCATGTTGGATCAGCATCTGATGTGCACCCTGAAGGCAGTGTAATTCCGTGCTCTGCTCACCTTTGTTCATCTCTGCCCCTTTTCCACCTCTCTGCCAGCTTCTCCATACCAGCGACCCTGTTCTGTGTACTTCTGTGGTCTTCCTTTGTACATTGCATTATAATGAGAAGGGATTTAAAAAGTGTTTTTGAATTGACTTTAAGATGTTTTCTTTGTATGACTTACAGAGTTAACTCACCCAGGAGTATTTAATGACTGTTGTAGAGAGAAGTAGACTTTAAAGGCCTAGTTTCTTTAACATTGAAGCTTTAAGGTAGAGTAGAACCTGTAATGTTCTAGAATTGTGATTTCTTCTCGATACAGAAATAACATCGTGTACTGAAGGGATTTATCAAAATGTGAGGTAGACCTGGAGTGGGGGTAGTGCGTGAACCCTGGATGGAATCCAGGGAAAAGCCATCATCCCTTGATTTTGTAGAACAAAGTGTAAGCCTTGGTTACCTTACTCTTCTCAAGGCAGGGTCATCTTTTGATGTTAAGGTATAAGTGGATGTATTTAATTTTTGCTAGTGGTCTTCACTGTAACTATTTGCTAAACTTATGTATACAAATGTATTTTGGTAGTGAAACATCTATGAGAGATTAGCTTTGGAAATTTCAAAGTCGTAAGTTACATACTTGTAACATAAATATTCCAACTTCATGTCCATACGTAAATATTTATAATTTTTACTAATTTGTTCATTTTACAGATCAGTTTCGACCAGGTATCAGGTATAGGTTTTTCCTATATGGGTGCAGAAATCAAGGATATCAGTTACTACGCTCCATAGTTGGATATATTGAAGAACTGGGTAAGTTAAAGGGATAAATGCTTCGAGTTTGTCATAAGGTACGTAGTGAGACTGAATTTTAAAAATAGATTGACAGGGGCCGGGGAGATGGCTCAGTAGGATAAGTGCTTGACGGGCAAACGCCAGGATCTGAGTTCAATCCCCGGTTCTGCCAAAAAAATAAATAAATAAATAAATAAATTGAATGAAGATGTTTAGTTCAAAGCAGGTAAAATAGTTTATAAGTTCAAAACTGCTTATGTAGTCTTAATCCAGTTATTGTTTATATTTCATAGTTTTACTGTTATCGAGAAAACTAAACCTTAATATGGTTGTCGAAGATATTTTATTTGCATTTATTCAAGTTTTTAAAGAAACTATTCAGTTACTCAGCACTGGTAATAAAGAAGGGAAAGAAAAATGCAGTCAACTTGAGTGGCCACTTAGATTTTGAATAAGTTGTTTGTCTGGATATGTATCTTGTGTAAAAGTTGTGTTACAGAGCTCGCTGTTGTTCCTAAAACTATTTTCATCTATCGTTGTTGTTATATAAGCTTTGTGGCCATAACTAGAAGTTTATGATGGGCAGCGAATGCAGTTTCAATTCCAAGTGTAGCCGTTTTCAGGCTGCACGCTCTTGGCCATCACTGTGTTACTGCGTGTTGGTGAGCTTCCTTTCAGCAACTGGCATCTTCACTTACAGCTCCGATTGTCGCACCAAATTTTACTGTTGAAGATACATCTGCAGATTCCATATTAGTAAAATGGGAAGATATTCCTGTGGAAGAGCTTAGAGGATTTTTAAGAGGATATTTATTTTACTTTGAAAAAGGAGAGAGAGATACATCTAAAGTAAGGGGTTTGGAATCAGGTAAGTAAATTCCTACCCTGATTATAGAGTTGCTTAAAAGTTCTCAATAACCACGAAAGAAAGTAAAAAGTAAAAGTGCTGCCAAGTAGTTTAATACTGGTTTCCAAAATAGTCTGAAAACTATGGGAATGAAAATGTAATCATTTTATGAATATGAGCATTTTAACGTTTTCTGATATGTAATAAATAGTAGTGTGCATCTAGTGTATCAGAAATTGTTTAGCAGATCATTCAGAAGCTTTTGATTTTAAGCTCCATAGGATAGAGACCATCTCTTGTTACCCTTTCATAATCTACAATACAGCATCTTATAAAATATCAGAATATTCTTAGAACAATGTAATAATCCAAAAAATGACTTCAGAGCCTGCATTACAATGTGAGAAAAAGCTGTCTGCAGGGTTAACATCTTCCTTAGCTATAAAGAGCTGGAAATTTTACCTTATTTGAATAAGGTTGTGCATGTCCATTAGAATTTGAAAAGCACACTCCTTGTCAACTGTAAAGTATATGTCCAAACGCCTTTGACTCTTAGTTCTCAAATGTCCTGATACAGAAATATTTATATACATTTCTAGCATTTCTGCTGGGAGTCAGGTATTTCCTGTTCATAGACACATGACACAAGTGCATCATTTTTTTCTGTCTGACGGCTTCCATTTCCACTAACAACTTCTTCTCCAGAAGCAACCATTTTAATTATTTAATGTAAAAGAAGCAGAGAGCAGCAGTGCTAGCCCCAGATGCTAACTGGGTGTCCAGGAGCTCTGAGAGCTGCCCTGCAGCATGTGTGCGTCCTCAGCCCCCGGCGTCCGCAGCTCCTGCACCTTCAGGGCTTCCTGTGGGTGAGGGCAGCCCTGTGTATCAAACTGTGCAGACATTCAGAGTCTAGCGTGAATGGCTTCAAGTGCTCGGAAAATTTACATTTTAACTAGTTAAAATTCTAGCATCTGGATTTCTGGTTAGACATGGAGAATTGGTCATTCAAATCAGAGTAGAATAAAAAGAACCTCATAATGCTATAAGGAAAAAGAGAGCGTAAGCGGCAAGATGACACCCAGAGAATTTAGAAATCTTGTGATTGACATGGGCAAGTGACTTTGAAGAGTGGAGGGTGGTGAAGTCCAAGGGAGCGCAGCTGGGTATCTTGGAGATGCTGTGTAATTTTGTCCTGCAGGAGCAAGATGGCCAGGATGGAGCTGGGCTGAGTGGTGGGTGTGGCTGGTTGGCAGAAGTGGCACTTTATATGCGTGTAAAAGTGAGTGGAGCCTCTAAGTGCACAATAAAATAATCTAAAAAGATCTGTGCCAGGGTCCATGGTAAGGAATTTTCAGATAACTAATGAGGAAGGAACTAGCTATAGAAATGATCTTCTTTATTTCAGAAAAGGAGTTACCCGAAGAAACTGATAACATGATTTTTAAGTAGTGGTAGAAATAATAGGAGGGGTTGGGGAGAAGCTGCTACATTTTGTTACTAGCCATTAGTACTATGTAATTTTTGAAACTGTCATCTTGTGATATTTTGGTTGAGATCTTAGAAGCAAGATAAAATTTAAGCATTGCTTCACTTCCTTTTGAAGGGATTCAAAGGCTATTTCATAGGCCATCCTTAGAGAATTCCCATAATGCAGACCCTTTTTCTAAGTGGCTTGAAGTCATCTCTATTGATTTGCTCTCTTGCCCCACTGTCTGCACTGCTGACTCATAGGCAGGATCCGCCTGAGTGAGTGGTTTTCCTGCTCTTAGTAGCAGATGAGGAAGTGGCTTGCATTGATTGCCTGCTGTGTGTCAGGCAGTGGTCCAGCAGGTGTGTGTAGGCTTCACATCCTCTACATACAGCTTCATGCAACTCTTGGAGGAAAGACATGGTACTTGATTTCAGCATCAGAGAACTTCAACTCAGAGCAGTCTAAATGTAGTTCTTGTCGGGCAGAACTTGCATGTGGCTCTGCCTGGCTTCAGGTTGTTGGCTGCGTGGCCAGCAGCCAGGTTCATGTAAAGAAGTGGTTGGGGTGACAGGTGTGTGCATAATCACCATGTGTTTTAAATGGTGTTAGGATGAATTAAAATAGGTCTCATTTGGAAACTAGGTCGTTCTGACATCAAGGTGAAGAATATTACTGACATATCCCAGAAGACACTGAGGATTGCTGATCTTCAAGGGAAAACAAGTTACCATTTGGTCCTGCGAGCCTACACAGATGGTGGCCTAGGCCCAGAGAAGAGCATGTTTGTGGTGACAAAGGAAAACTGTAAGTCTGCAGTTACCATCACATCATTCAAAGCCAACTTTTTATTTATGTAGGACCCCACCCCGCCTACCTTATTAAAAGCAACATTTCATTGCTTTTGTATACTTTATAAAGGGCATCTTTAAAGGTCATGAGATAATGTCATGTTTATTCTTGCCAATATTTGAAACTATTTGCAAATGAGTACTTAATAAATTAATGAATAAGTATTATATTTTGAGCCTAGAAGTTTAAATGCTTGTTGAATTTATATAATGGTCAGCCAATTAAAACATTTTCCCCAGCTAGTATATGATATTTTTAATAAATATAGGGAAAAGTAATGTAGTCTTTAATTTTTTTTTGTGGGGCTATGGATATAGTTCACGATTTAGGCAGAATTCTTGTCTAGCAAACCCAGTGAAACCCTGGGTTTGAGTCTCAGTATTGAAAAACACAACAGTAAACATTGTAAAAAAATTTTGAGAACCACAACACTTTTATAATTTTATATTATTTCGACTTTTTTTTTTTTTCTGTGGTACCAGGGATTGAACTCAGGGTGCCAGGCAAGTGCTTATTCTACTGAGCTATTTCCCTGGCCCCTATTTTATTTTATTTTGAAGAGTAAAAACAAAAGCAAAAACAAATAACAGAAACAGAATAACATATAACAATACATATATTACAGATTTTCAGAATAAGAATAACTAATTAACATTGGTTGTTCTATTATCTGTTTTTATTGTGAAATCTGTTGCTCAGATTACAGATACAGTTATGCAAGATTGGACAAATAATTGAATATTAATGCTTGCTTTCAATAAACCTTTTTTTCTTGTCTTATTTTATTTTTTAAAACATACACATATAAATTCAAGGTGGAAGTAGAGAAAAATCATGGCTTTGATTTGTCTTCCAACATCAAAAATATTAATTTGGGGGCCAGTGAGATAGCTCAGCAGACTAAGCACCTGCTTAGGCAAGCTGAGGGATAGGGTTCGACCCCCAGCTCTGCATGCCATGTGAGTCCTACCCCTGGGTAGGCTGAGCTGACCACAGGTCTAGGTGTGGTGGCGCATGCCTGTACCTAGCACTGGGGAGGCGGAAAACAGGAGGATCACTGTGAGTGTGAGCTGCGTAGTGAGACCCTGTACCAAATACAAAATATAATAATAATTTGGGTAGGGACTTACCCTCTACTCATGAGTTGGAGTGCTTATATCACTCTTAAGTAAAGAACCAATGAGGATGTATTTTCCTAATGGTGGTTCTCAGCTGTGCCATTTTGCCCCTCAGAAACTCCTGACAGTCTGATGACATACTTGATTGTCATAATTTGGGAGGAGGATACTACTGGAGCTCTGGGTAGATGCCAGTAGTGCTGGTAGATTTCCTACAGTACACAGCACAGTCCTTTCCACCCTCACCACCCGAGTAGTAGTGCCAAAATTGAGAAACTCTCCTTTAGAAAATTGTAAGTATTAAAATGAAATGATTAAAATATTATGAAGATTATATTTTTACTAGTTTTTCAGTGTTCCTGGTGCAGATTTATTTTTCTTTTTAAGTAATAATATACTGGATGTTAAGAATGGTGATTTTATTTGCAACTTTGTTTTTTCAGCTGTGGGATTAATTATTGCCATTCTCATCCCGGTGGCAGTAGCTGTCATTATTGGAGTGGTAACAAGCATCCTTTGCTATCGGAAACGAGAATGGTAATGGTACTCTGTTTTGTTTTTAAAGGCTTGATTATCCTGTGTGTTACAATATAAGTGTATCTTTTTAATTGTATAAGTTAGAAATCATTTTAGTCAGAATTAGTATTTATTTAATCTTAGGCAAGAAAATAACATTTAAGAGTGTCAGAGTTAATACAGTAAAGTGTAAATTCTTCCCTATTGCTTTTACTACTAATTTAAAGTAATGACAGTTGTACTAAAAAAAAAAAAAAAAAAGTATGTGTGATGTGCATATGTGTGTGTATGTATGTATGCATATATTTTCAGGTTTAGCATGATAATAGGTATCTTCAGGGTTATGTATTATTTAATAATTAAGCTCTCACTTGTCCGGGTTGCCTGTTCAGAAAATCAGGTTGTTTGGATGGTTTAATGGCTTCTTCACTAAGGATGAAACGCCCTTGGCCATGAGGGGATGTGATAATGGACGACGGGGCAGCCTGATCTTTGGAGATCTGTAGCACAGTGGGGGACAAGGACAGTGCCAGCAACCATTAAGTGTCCAAGGAGGTGGAAGGTGTGAATGGGTTCCAAAGAAAAGGGTACCAGTGCTGAGGAGCCTAGAGGAAAGCTGCTCGGGGAGCCTCACGAGGGGCGGGGGCAGGTAGGACTGTACCAAGAGTGTGGCGCAAAGGGCTCCCGTGAGACTTGGTGCTAGAGAGCTGGAGAGAGGTGGAGCTGAGGGAGGCCCGGCAGGGCTGCGTGAAGCAAGTGCCGTGTGCTGACTGCGCTGACAGGAGCTGCTGCCTGTGTCTGAGCAGAGGGTTGGCTCACACAGACGGGTCTCATCGTCTTAAGTGAGTCGATGTGATGACGTGGAGGGAGTGTGTTTTGGCAGTGCTCGCCCCTAAGTGAGCACAGCACTAGCTGTAGAAGGATGGAGGAGCCTGTGGTGAATAACTGTGGTCTCATTAGGACAAGTCACATTTTAAAGCTACTTCAAAATAAGAGGGAAGTTTAGATTTTCTTTAGACTCACATGAGCAGGTTCATATTAACAAAGTTATTTTTCCTGTAGGAACTTCAAATAATGAAGTTCTTGTTAAATATTATATAAAAATTGGATGTGATGCTGTGCAGATCTCGTTTTTTGTTTGCATTTAGTTCCTACCCAAGAACAATAGCCTTTTCCTTGTCTTGCCAGGGAATGTCATTGTGACATGGCTGTCCCCTCACTGACTGTTTTCGTCAAGCCACTGTCTCAGGGTACCACAGCTGTTCCTTGCACGGTGCCAGTGCTGCTCTGTACAAGGCAGAACAGCAAATGCAGATACATTCCTTCGTGGTGGATCCTGCTGAGTGCAGCATGCAATTAAAAATTACGGTTGCACTAATTGCCTGTAATTTTCTTTGATGATGATAGCACATCGCTCACTTTATTTGCTTTCCAATCCCGTGAGCTGTACGAACTGTCAGTGCTCTAGATGTGGTACCACTGTTTTAATTTTCCAGTTGGAACCTTATGTAGAAGCTCTAGTGACCAATCATGTGCTAAGAATTTCTATATTATTTCAGATGTTCACGAAAACATTCACATAAAGTATCAATATAAACTGATAACTTATCTGATTGATAGTAGTATAGTTATTAAATCTACTAAATCATTTTTTATTTAAAGGATTAAGGAGACCTTCTACCCTGATATTCCAAATCCAGAAAATTGTAAAGCATTACAGTTTCAAAAGAGTGTCTGCGAGGTAATACTTTCATACTATTGTCTTTCAACTGCTGGCTTCTTTCTCTTGTGAAAAGTTTATAGCATGTAGATACCTCCATGTTTAAAAAGTGTTAAGCAAAATAGAATTGGGTTTAACATCTACTGGTTTCTGAAGTTGCTAATCTAAAATTGTTTGGACCATGTTCTTTTTTTCTACTACTTTAGTAGAAAATATTGATGTGGAGAAAAAGTGGCTTTTCTCTCACATGCACAAAGTAGCAGAGGCAAATGTTTATGAGCAGATGTGAAAAAATAAATATGCCCTTTTTAACAGGAGGAGCATTGCAGTGGTATTTAGTGTTAATAACTTTTAAAAATTTATTTCTAGGGAAACAGTGCTCTTAAGACATTGGAAATGAATCCTTGTACCCCAAATAATGTTGAGGTTCTGGAGACTCGGTCAGCGCTTCCTAAAATAGAAGACACAGAGATAGTTTCCCCAGTAGCTGAGCGTCCCCTTGACAGCTGTGATGTAGAACCTGAAAACCATGTGGCCGTGTCCTATTGCCCACCAATCATCGAGGAAGAAATATCAAACCCAGCTGTGGATGAGGCTGGAGGTACTTCACAGGTCATCTACATTGATGTCCAGTCCATGTATCAGCCTCAGGCCAAACCAGAGGAAGACCAAGAAATTGACCCCATAGTTGGGGCAGGGTATAAGCCACAAATGCGCCTCCCCATTAACTCTACTGTAGAAGAGACAGCTGCAGTGGATGACATAGATAAAACTGCAGGTTACCGACCTCAAGCAAATGTAAATACTTGGAAATTGGTCTCTCCAGACTCTCCTAGATCCACAGACAGCAACAGTGAAATTGTCTCTTTTGGAAGTCCGTGCTCCATCAACTCACGACAGTTTTTGATCCCCCCTAAAGATGAAGACTCTCCTAAATCAAATGGAGGAGGGTGGTCCTTCTCAAACTTTTTTCAGAACAAACCAAATGATTAGAATGACACCCTGTCACACAGTCTGCCATCTCAATAAGCTCTTACTGCTGGTGGTGCCACAGCAGCACTGGTGTCCCTGGAGGGGCACTGTGAAGTATTGCTGCCCAGGTGAGCTTCACTGTGTGCAAGTTACACCCGAAGTATTAGTGTCTTCTAATGTAGTCCAGGCCAGGGACAGTGACTCAGAATCTTCACCCCATGAAACTCAAGATTTGGGGCTGTTGTGATCAACCCAAAGCATTCTTCAGGAAGCATTTCAAGGCCGATATTGTTTAGAACATATATGCAAAACAAACCCTGCATCAACTGTTTTCTGTTGTTAATGGTTTTCTCTGTGTATACTTTGTAGAATTACAAGGGGATTTTCAGGCAAGGGAGAGAAATGTTGAAGTCATGTAATGTTTGTTTATTTGCCTGATACTAATTCCATTCTAGAGGAAAACCAAGCACAGATTTTAAAACTTTGGAGATTTTTCTCTTCTATCTGCAGCATTTATGAAAGTTAACGTAATTTGTAATGTAGAGACAGCCATTTAGTGTTCTGTTTGCTGAAGTGCGCCGATTTCTGTGCCTACTGTACGATGGTTATCAGTCTCAGGGGTGCAAACATGGAAGACGTGTGACGCTGGCCAGCGCCAGGCAGAGCAGCATCAGTTTGCTTTGGTAATTTTTCAAATCTTCCCATTATTTTTTGCTTTTATGCCAGCTTCCGTTATTACAGAGGAATGTCCTGATATTTGAAACTTAAATTGCTAGAACCAAGGTTTTTATATAACCCATTTTATTTTGTGATATGGTTTCAGCTTTATATGAGCAAATTCATTACTAATCCTAAACATACAGTTCCTCTTGATTCACTGTGTGAGATGACTACTAAGCAGTACCTCGCAGCGTTTGTTGTCTGGTGCACCTCCGCCTGGCTTGCATTTCCTGAGAATGAGAAGCCATAGCTTCTTGAGCCTGGTCGCCTCCCAGCTGTAATCCTTAAAGCTTCTCAGCAGGTTTTCCTCACTCATCAGTTGTGATTCCCCTCTTAAAGTGATCTTCGGTTCAGACTGTCAGATCAAGTCCCAGATTTTTAAGCATACAACCAAGTTGAAGATGCTTTTTCCATGAACAGTGACTCCAGGGCGTTCCTGTTAAAGGTCATCAGTGGACTTGAACTGGTGGCCAGCTTAGTGAACGTGTGCTGGTGGTGTCTCTACCATGGCAGCCTCTGCCCATCTGGCTCTTCAGCAGTGATCTTGAGAGTAAATACGGTTCTTGGAAGCAAAAGCAGAGTGAACAACTACAAAGTGTATTGTGTATTCCCCTGTACTTGGTTTGTCTGTGTCTTTCATCTTTTGCTAGTTTACGAATAGTACTTGAAATTGAAACACCTGAGTAAATTAAGGTTGGCTTCTTTTGGACCATGTGAGGCTCCATGATATATTTGCAAATAATGGATCACTAATCTCTCGAACTCATTGTATGTTTTTAAAAACCATGTTATGGGAGAAACAGGGAGACAAGGGAAAAAAATCTATTTAGGTACTCATATATGAATGCTGATTTTAACTAATATAACTCAACTAAATTTCTGAGCACCATGGTATGTGTAGAAGGAAATATAATTATACACATAGTATATAAAATCTGTATAATAACTCACAGATATTTTCAATAATGAAAATACATCAAGGCAGAGCCACCCCTAAACAAAGTTTCATCTTTTTTATCTTTGGCTCCTTCCTTTAGATCTCCCCTGAAACACTCAGACCTAAAGCTGCCTCCGCTCTCTCCCTCCTATCCCACGAGCTGCGTGAGACCCTGAACCAAATACATAAAAAAATAAAGAAATAAACTGTACTCACTTGAGAACACAGGGAAAAAAATCAAGAAATAGGTCTCTCTCATCAAGATATATGCACTGCAGTTCTGGTGAGATGGCTCAGTGGTCTAAAGCACCTACTTAGAACAGGCTTAGCAAAACACAGGGACCGCGGTTCAATCCCCCAGCACCACATGCCAGCCAGCCCTGCCCCCTGGTGGGCTGAGCTGGCCACACACACACACACACACACACACACACACAAATAAAAAATTAAAAAAAATAAGATATATGCACTGCAACTGTGCCCTTTATAATGCGTGTCATGACTCATTTGTTTGCCTGAAAGTAACTGTCACCAGGGGCTCTTGAGTCCGGGACTTCAGTGCAGGAAGCAAGTTCAGAGTACCACTCACTTCTTGCTACTTCTGGAGTTCTGTGCCCAAGTATCTCTAGATGAATGAGAAGCAAAGTAAAATTTGCTCAGTCTGGGCAAGCTCTCTAATTTCCTTATGATTAGGAGACTGTGGCTTAGGTCTGAGGCCAAAGCAGCTTCCTTTGTCTTTCTTCTTTGAACCAGAGACACCAATGCTGTCCATGATCTTTCCAGCCCCTCACGCCATCCTTGCATTTAGGGGGACCTTCAGTGCAGGGAGGAAGAAGCCAATAGGACTCCCTTTGTCACGTGTCCAGTTGTTTGAGCGCCCAGAGTGTTCCCTGTGAACGTCAGTGCAGGTACCATGCCCATGGATGCAAGCTGTTTCAATAGTGGCCGTGCTCTGTACAGTCAGCTCAGCCACTCGTCTCTTGCATAACATTAAGGATGAACTACAGTGGTAGGCTATAGTATTCCCTGAGTCCTTATTGATAGGCGAAGGGTGGGAAATCCCTCTTTCCTAACAACAACTCAATCATTAGAAAATTCTAAATACCTGAACTAAAAATATGTTCCCTTATTTCTGTTGAATAGAATTGAAGATAAGGCCACTGTGTCCTGCTCTTCCAGGGTAGCCCACACTCACTCTAGGGTGTGCTCCTTTTCCTACATTTACTTGGCCCATACTTGCTCTGCAGAGCCTGTTTCTTTTCCTGGATTTAATAAAACTTTACTGTGTCTTAACAGCAACAACAACAACAGCAAAAAACAAAACAGGACTGTGAAAAGGACTGTAGGTTGTTACCTCTCTTATAAACCAATTTCAAATCAAGTTTCCCTTGTAAGCAGTGGAGATTCTGGGTGCCGCAATTTCTATGAGTTTATTTTGTGATGGCCATCTTAGAATGTAAAAAATTGGAAAGATTTAACCAGATTTTTACATTAGCTAGACCTTCTGAATTATGCATTGCATGGGTTAGCACACATTTATACTCTAAGCCATCAGTTCGTTGAACTAGCAGAGTTCTGGGTTTGAGATTGTGGTCCTGGGTGTTCAAGAGTGGAGGGCTGTGCGTGCGTGCGTGCGTGCGTGCGTGCGTGCGTGATAGAGGTCCTTTGCTCCTGCAGCTGGAAACAGGAGCAGCCATTCACCGAGTAGTTCAGGGAAGGAAGTATCACCTCACTCTCCACACCAGCCCTACGTTTGTATTTCAGAAATCTGAGGGTTTGCATTTTACTATTGAACAGAAACTGTGGTAAAAAGTTACATTCTCAAATATTCATGCAGATTGTATTTTTGTTGGAAATCAGTCCTGTGATCCTCTGGTTATCTTCATACTGTCTGTATTTAAAGAATGTTGCAGACCTTTCTGAATTTGGATAGTTAAGTGTAGCTTAGTGAAGGAGATGGAAAGTTATTCTTCCAAAGGGAATTTGAAATCAATTTGATGGCTTTTTGAAATTAAATGTACCCCTCCACGTGTCAGCATTCAGAAAGTGTTATCCCAAGGCTTTGTGCTCAGGCACATAATCTTATAAAACAGTTTTGTTTGCACTAAGGTCATTTTTGCTACCTTTCTGTTTTGTTAATATGTTAAAATTTGTGTAACTTTTATAAAGTGCCTTTTTGCTTACTTTGAAAGTAAAAGTTGGGCATCTGGGGTATAAAATGTGGTTAGAATCATTCCCTACCAAGACTAGGTACATTATGAACGTTCACTGGCTTCATTATTGCCTGAGTCCCATCCCAGTGTTAGGAATTTAGCAGCAGTTCCAGAAGCATAGTACAGAGCGGTGTCCAGTGCGTTAGGTCTGAAACTGTTGCCTCAGATATGTAGCTCCACAGTTCAAGTAAATTTGGGGGAAATCTGATGGGTACATGTCACTAGATATCTTATTCCTTCTTAATTTTAAACTGATAGCTATACAATTTGGTACCTGCTAATACCAACCCAGCATGTTTCCTGGCAAATAATACTGTACGTATGGGCTTCACAGAGTAATATAAGAACTCATTGTCTTGATAGAACATGTCTTCAGAACATTTCCTTTAAACTTATTTTGGCTAAATCAAAATTTCATGATGCCATTACTCATCTGTTACATCCACAAGAAAAAAATTTTCCTGAAAAAAATGATTGTACCCAAACTTAGAAGGCATTCACTTTCTAGACATAATATTAGAATATCATTGGAAATCATTTGGTTAGAATTAGGTTTCATTTATATCTCCATGGAATTACGTTCTAGGACTAAAAACACTTAAGCCTTTTGATTCACTATGGTAGTAAGACTTTTATTTCAGCGGCTCCTTTTGTCTTGATTATTTACATGATCATGTTCATCCTAGTTATAATATAGACATACTAGTTTTAATGCCAGTATTGAGGGTTGAGAACAACATTGAATTAATTCAGGTTTTATTGTATATGTTAGAGTTTCAGGGAATGCAATTTGGTATAGAATACTACATTCACATGCTTGTCTATATGGATTATGATAGAATTCTATTCTTAACTGTTAGTAATGCTTGTTTTGTCTGTATTGTGAATGTTAATATTTTGAATTATTAGGTGTGCCAAGTTCTTTTTTTATTTTGGTGCTGGGGATCAAACTCAGGACCTTGTGCTTGCCAGACAGGCGCGTATGCCACTGAGCTGTCTCCTAAACCCCTAGGTGTCCAAGTTCTAAAAAGAATTTACCTAAGAAACACCATTACATTTGTATAAAAATTTAAAATAGTGTGTTTTGAGAGAGAAGCTCTGACTGTTTGAAGTGTAAGTGCCTAGCTAGAGAACCATAGAAACAATAAATTCAAAAGCTTTTATATAAGTAAAACATAACTAATTGAACATATACCAAATATAAAACAGCAATAAGTTCCATTACTTTCTGGTTTCTAGAATTAAGTAGCTTAAGCTGGAGAGATAGCTTAGCAATCTAAGTGTCTGCCTGGCAAGCGCAAGGACTCGGCTTTGATCCCCGGTACTGCATGTGGAAACCGGGCATGGTGGTACATACCTGTAATCCTAGCACTGGGGAGGCTGAGACAGGAGGAGCATAATGAGTCAGAACTACGTAATGAGACCCTGTACCAAATAGAATTGAGTAGCTTAAAAACTAAAAGTTGTTAATGCAGAAAAAAATGTCTAATTGATAAGGAAATTGATGTTTAGTACGTATTTCCTAAGATTGCCTCTGTGGTAGCCAGTCAGAACTTAAAAATAAAAAATATATAACTATATAGATTTCATGCAGTGCTTAAGCCAAAATAATTATATATCTGATTGAACAGCTCACTTCATTGAATTTCCTAATTAATTCAGAATGTGATTCACTTTAGAATATTCCATTGTAAATGGGAATTTCTAGTTTCTGAACTTATTTCTCCTAAGCATCCCAGTGGTATATTTTAAAAGCAGAAATTTCTAGATGCTCGTGATAAAATTTCATTGAATCATGAATAATTGTTAGTTGGCAGTATTTTTGCAATTGATTATAGAAAGGGATAATGAATTAATGATTTATTTTATTTTATTTTATTTTGTACAGTGTCTCACTGCGCAGTTCAGACTCGTAGTGATCCTATTTTCAGCCTCCCTAGCACTGGGAATTAATGATTTTCATGAAATTATTATTTTCAAATGTTCTTCCTCCAGTTTGATCAAAATACTTTCCCCTTTTTTTTTTTAAATATAGATAAGTTGCTAGTTCCTTCTATTTAATTTTTCTTCCAACATAATATGTAGGGAAAATGTGGATAGTGACATGAATAGTTGAAGACGCACAAAAACAAGCCCTGTTCAGTTCATTGTTGAAGAGAGAGAGGCACATGTGGTGCCTTGGAACCTGTTTTATCCTGTTATTTTCTTTAAAAAGAGCATCGAGTTTCTTACATACATTTTAGTTTAGATTTGCTTGTAGAAGATTGTCCTGGATATAAAGAAAGATGTCTTAAGTTTAAGACAGTACTACATTAGAGGTATGTTCAAAGATTTTTAAAAAGTTACTAAAAGTATTCAATATTACTAGTAAGAACAATTTGTTTACCATTTCTTTAATTAGCTGGTATAAATCAATATCCTAACACTAAAAAATTACCATTTTTTATTTTAAAGTTGCATTATAGTGAATTACTGTTTACAAAATACACATACTGTGAACAGATAAATTTTTGTCTTTTATAAGGTTTGTAGACTGAATGTTTTTTAAAGGTGGTGTTATGTTAAATAGGTTTAGTTTTTTATGAATATTAGTGACTGTTTACTAACTTTTGTTTGGTCAGGTGTGTATCAGCATCGCTGAAGAAGATAGGGCAGTCCAAAACGGTGCCCTTTGTCATTTCTTGAATTGTTACCACTACAGACATTTTTAAAAACATGAATAATGAGTTGTGGTTCTTCTGTACTTAATCATTCTTAGTCACATAAGAAAACATTTAAATATATATATTCAGAAAGTAAACTACAGCAGAAGTAAATCTCTGTGATCCATTCTGAATTGCAGAATTCTGGGGTTAGTGTGGAATGAAACAATTTGTGTGAGAAATAAAGTACTTCCTGCCTTGTGAAAATCTGGATGTTATGTTGTTAGAATGGGAAATTCGGACATTCTATATTATCATTTAATTTCAAAATTTAGTTTC